CTTTGAAAACTGCTGTAGAAATTTAGTTTAAAAATATATTTATAAATATGTATTTCTTCTTGCATGAGTATCTGTGTCTGTTCATTTGTTTTATGTGCATATTTTTGTCCCCTGTAGGGAAGTTGTTTGTTCGACACAACAGTTGGCAGCTGAGCAGGGTTTACCCATCAGGCCAGAGGTTACAGTCCTCCAACTACGACCCCCAGGACATGTGGAACGGAGGCTGCCAGATGGGTGAGCAACTGAACATTGCTGCATGTCTGCAAGTACAGCAGCCAATGCTTGAACGCTTCTTTCTCTCTGTTCTCCAGTGGCTCTGAACTTCCAGACACCAGGAGAGCAGATGGACCTGAATCAGGGTCGCTTTCTGCCCAATGGGCGCTGCGGATATGTGCTTAAACCTGACTTCCTGTGTCACCCAAAGTCCAACTTTGACCCTGAGAACACAGGTGGAGGACCAGGACATATACCCACACAACTTACCATACGGGTTAGTAACGGCTCCTCTTCTCTTACAGCTGACAGGAAATATTGCTCAGGATCCCATGTGCTCTGTAAATATTGTGATAAATCTCTCTCTTTTTTTTTTTACTGTACTTCTGGGCCATTTTGTTTCTCCCACAGGTGATCTCAGCCCAGCAACTTCCTAAAATAAACACAGACAATCCCAACTCCATTGTGGACCCGCAAGTCTGGGTGGAGATCCATGGAGTTTCCATCGATAAGGCTCGTGCAAAAACCCAGCGCATTGACAACAATGGTGAGGCCACTGATATTTTCAGTTATCCAAAGGTATTACCGGTATGTTGTGTTGTATGATTGGTTAATCTATATCAATCCATTAAAATTGTGTGTGTGATAGAAACTTTAGTGATGTTTTAATGGTTTGTATATTGATTACAGTGTTTAATCTGTTTTTATTTTGTTGTTTTGAGCAATTATTTTGTGTGTGGCGACCATTCTAGCAGTAAAATGAGAGGTGTTCCTGTCAGGATTGAATATTGAGTATGTGTGTGTGTGTGTGTGTGTGTGTTTGTCTCCCCCTGCAGGTTTCAACCCCCGCTGGGATTGTACTGTGAGCTTTCAGCTGCAGGTGCCTGAACTGGCCTTGGTGCGTTTCATGGTGGAAGATCACGACTACAAATCCAAAAATGATTTCATTGGCCAGTTCACACTCCCATTCACCAGCCTACGAACAGGTGTGTGTGCATGTGTGTGTGTGTGTGTGTGTGTGTGTGCGCGCGTGTGTGTGTCTGTGTCCGTTGGAGTGACATGTTTGTGCCTTTTTTGCCCCTAGTAGGTACATATTAGTACCTTAAGGGTACACTCTTAAAAATGCTGGGTTAAATATAACCCAGCGCTGGGTTAAAAAGGGACAAACCCAGCTATTGGGTTGTTTTGACCCAGCGGTTGGGTTGTTTTGAACCCAAAAGCTGGGTCAAAACAACCCAACCGCTGGGTCAAAACAACCCAATAGCTGGGTTTGTCCCTTTTTAACCCAGCGCTGGGTTATATTTAACCCAGCATTTTTAGAGTGTACATATTACTACTCTGGGGTACTGATGTGTACCTATTGGGGGTGGAGGGGGTGCAAGTGTGTCCTTTTGGGGGTGCTGCTCCGGGGATGGGCTGTTGTGCCCCAAAAGGTACCATTTTAAACCCTTTTTTTCTGTGTGTAAATATTGTAGAAACGTAATTGTCTGTAAAGTTGCTTTGCAACGATTTGTATCGTGAAAAGCGCTATACAAATAAACTTGAATTGAATTGAAGTGTGTGTGTGTGTGTGTGTGTGTGTGCGCGCGCACTGGTTTGGGTGGTTTATGAGGACACAAATTTGTATAATGACATTGGTATAACATTACAATGTGAAGATGGTTTATGAGGACACTGCCTGTGTCCCCGTAATTCAAAAGGTTTAAAAAGCATACTAAATGGTTTCTAAAAATGCACAAAGATTTGTGTGAGGGATAGGTTTAGCTATAAGGTTGGGGTAGGGCGACAGAAAATACAGTTTGTACAGTATCAAAAAAATTGCGCCTATGGAGAGTCCCCGCAAACCACCAGTACCAACATGTGTGTGTGTGTTCAGTTCACACCGTATGATGTTTTTATAAAACATATACTATATTTAAACATAAACATGATTTGTGGTGGAAGTACTGTATGTATTTTAAATTTTACAACACTAACTGCCGTTAGAAAATTTGGGGTCAGTAAGATTTTTATGTAAAGAAATTAGGATGCATTAAATTGATCAAAATCAATAACTGTAAATACATTTATAATGTTACAAAAGATTTCTATTTCAAATAATGCTGTTTTTTTTCTTTTTATTCATTAAAGAATCAAGAAAAACTGTGTCACAGTGTTTTCAACATTGATAATAATAAGAAATGTTACTTGAGCAGCAATTCAGCATATCAGAATGATTTCTGAAGGATCATGTGACACTGAAGGCTGGAGTAATGATGCTGAAAATTCAGCTTTGCATCACAGGAATAAAGTACATTTTAAAATATATTAAAGCAGAAAACAATTCTTTTAAATTGTAATAATATTCACAATATTACTCAAATAATTGCAACCTTGATGAGCATAAGAGACTTCTTTCAAAAACATAACAAAATTTACCAACCCCAAGCTTTTCAATGGTAGTGTAAATAATATAAATTCATGTTTTTAAATAAACTATTACATAAAGTTGTCAGAACACAATGCTTGAAATATCTACTGTAACAAAGAATTATTTATCAAGGACATAAAAAGGACATACTGAAGAGTCAGATCAACCTTTGCCTTCAAAACAGCTTCAGTAGTTTTTGGAATGTTGTTATCCAAGTACCCAACTGTGTGGAGAGGGATTTTGCACCATTCCTGAGGAAGAATAGTTTCCAGTTCACTGAGACATCAATGAGATGGAAATCTGCTTCTCAGTCAGGGGCCTAGAGCACGTAATGGTTAAAAAATGCCTAGATCTGAAGTTCAAGAAGGACATGAATAGCATTTGAATTAATCCTGATTTTCATAAAACTTTGACTTAAGTTTTATGGGAAAACACTGAGACAAAGAAAAACTAAATATAAACGAAATTTTAATTGTTCTGACATCTTTAAAAGAATAATAATAATCGGTGGCGTATGTGGTACCTATTACGTTGAACACTTGTTTTAACTAGATTTTTCACATATATTTATTCAAGTGTTTGTGTTGTCCTCCAGGTTATCGTCATGTTCACCTGCTAAAAGCTGACGGCTCTAGTCTGTCTCCTGCCACCCTCTTCATCCATGTCAAGGTGGTACGGCGAGGAGTTCCTATTAAAACCGTTTCTGAGCGGATAGGCAAGGCCTGAGGCTTCTGTCATGATTCCTGGAAATGTTTATTTGTGGAAGTACCTTACTGAAGGAAAGGCCCCTGAGCCGGGCTCTTGAGGTGCTGGGACTCTTCAGAATGAGACCACATATAAAAGCATTGGACATACAAGCACAAACACTGTGCACAACAATCTGCAGAAAGTCAGTGTAGTTTTGTCATTCAAAGTGCATTTTGCTTTTTTATTGTTCTTTTGTGGTGTTGTCTGCAGAGCAGAACGTCTTAACGTGTTATAGCCGTGTTATGGTTGAAGCTTAAGATGTTATGAAGTCAGTATTGTTAGAAGTTACAAGTCAGTGTTGTTTATAGAGTCCGTTTCCATTGAGACCGATTTCTATTGAGTCTCTGTGAGCATTGAAATCAGGAAATGTTACACATTTTATGAAAATTTTATATTTTAATTGAACTTAAACTAGTCTTTACATGCTGGACAAGAATTATATGTACATGTAGACAGAAATTAACTGTCTTTCATTTTTTTATAGTTTGAATCTTGTCGTTTTGTTGGTGGTTGTGATATGCTGAACACTGATAGCAAGGTAAAGAAAGTGTAGAAAAATAATTTTGAAGGAATACTTAAAGCATAGCAAGAGTCATGACTATTTTTTGCAGTATTTTTTAATTGATTCAAACACCAACAGCGTTTTAGCAGTATATAAGTAATAAGAAATCAGTAATTATCAGTAGTTAAGCAATCTGAGTAATAAGATACTTCTGAAAAATAATAATATATATTAATATAATTAATGTAATAAAAATAATAAATATTACATATTTGTAAACAGCTACCACTAATGATGAATACTGTGTTTAACAATATTTAACAAAGTTTGTTGAATCATGAAAACATGTGGTTATTAATAACTCATAAATGTCTGTGTTTTGTACTAGGCTATTTAACATAATATTATATAGTAATGTGAGCTGCTTCTGTAAAGATGTGTTAGATTTTTTGTTTCACAGCAGAAAACAGATTTTAATGTCTTACTTGTTTATACAGTACTGTATGTGTAAGTTTGTGTATACATGCTTAAATTTTAGCAAGAATACATTATTTTTTTAAGTTGTATTGAAATAGAAAATCAGTAATTAATTAATTTAATTAATATTAACTAGTATTTATTTTTACATTATCAGCAGCAGACATCAGTTTCAAATCTTCACTTATTTAAGCACAGATACTAATTAGGTTCAGAATTATTTTTTGCTTGTGTAGCCTATTTTTGAATCCATGAAAATATGTGAATCAATCTCCATTGTGCAGTTGTGCTCATTAATTGTTTTTATTGATATTTGGAAAGATGTAGTGCCTTTGAAAGCATGCCTACATTTTATACATTTAAAAATCGAACTGTACCTAATTATTGTGTGGTTTAATGACTACTGAATGCCTGTATGTGCATGTGTGCGTTCTTTATCGTAGGCAACATTTTTATCAATTTTTCCCATTTCAAATTTTTTTTTTTTTGGGTGACTCTGGCTGACATTCTGTCCAGGGACTACAGAAAAAAAAAGCCCTTTAGCTATTACCTCTGGTGCATTTACAGTAATGTTTATTAATGTGCACTATTATTTAAATAATTAAATAAATTTCACAACATGGGATGAAATAGACTGTCCTGCATAGAATAGAACTACAGAAACCATCGGGCTTTGCGGCAGTCCACCAATAGTTTTGCGGGTTGTGAGGGCGCAGGGCGAGATCCTCACTTCCTGGTTAAAGATGGCGGATGAGAATGAGACAGCACCGCAGCTGGAGAAAGAAACTGAGGTAGAAGTGGATCACGGACACTGCAGCAACTGTGAAAATGAAGAGCATCACTCTGATGACGGGTGAGCGTGCATGCATTTTATTGTTAGCTCGTAAATATAAAATACTCTTCCACAAGGCCCGAAAAGACGGGGCCCTTGTTCAACTAGGCTGTGGCACGCTAACAGCATATCAGCCCGCCCCCTGGTCCTACGCTATTGGGTCACTGCCTTGATTGACGGACGGATCTCTAAAACGATTGGCTCAGACGCCGTCAATCAAACAAAAGGACTGTTCCAAATGGCCAGTTCTATACGATCATTGGCATTTGTGTGAGAGGTTTAAAAGCCTCACTACAATTCTTGGTTTGGTAGAAAACAAATAAGCTATTACGTTTAAAGTCGCTATTCCATGTCCTTTGGCAACAATAAACTAACCGATATTAATAAATAACCAACAAAATCGATTTCAAACCTGGTATGCAGGCCTTTATGATCACTAGGTTGTTAGTAATATGGATTTGCTGTCGCTAACCGATGGCTTGATGTGATCTAGTTAGCTTGACTGCTGCTAGTAGCAAATGGGGCATCCTTAAACGTTTTTATCACCCTGCTCTCGGTTCGCCCTCGCTCTCAGGTGTCTTGTCTTCACCGATGCTGCCTGAGTTTCACTTTCAGTACCAAAGAGCTCCTTGGATTCACCAAATTCCTTCTGCTGCCTCTGGTTTACTGAAAGAGATTCCTTAACCAGCTTCTTATCCAGCTACATGTCCCTCAAGGTCATTACACGCACCGGCTAGAATAATTTAGGGAACAGATAGTGAACTATTACATTTCATTATTATAATGATGTAATGGCAGTATGCCATATGCCATGAATATATATTATTTGCCTCATAAGACACATTATGTGGTGTGACTGCTGCTAGTAGCAAATGGGGCATCCTTAAACGTTTTTATCACCCTGCTCTCGGTTCGCCCTCGCTCTCAGGTGTCTTGTCTTCACCGATGCTGCCTGAGTTTCACTTTCAGTACCAAAGAGCTCCTTGGATTCACCAAATTCCTTCTGCTGCCTCTGGTTTACTGAAAGAGATTCCTTAACCAGCTTCTTATCCAGCTACATGTCCCTCAAGGTCATTACACGCACCGGCTAGAATAATTTAGGGAACAGATAGTGAACTATTACATTTCATTATTATAATGATGTAATGGCAGTATGCCGTAGATCACGTAACATGAATATATATTATTTGCCTCATAAGACACATTATGTGGTGGCTCATATACAATTAAGGGTCCCTCATTTATCTCAAAACTTTACAAGCAAAACCATTCATTTCATGCACTAGTCAATTGAATTGTTTTTTTTAAATCATCTTTTAGAGTACAAATTAAAATGTTTATTTTATTACACTTTATCTTTTTGCATCTGTTGATTTCAATTGCAATACATGTAATCGGCCGTTTTTTCAAAATGAGTTTTATGCATTGAGCCAGAAATCTTCATTTTGGTTACCATTTTCGGTAAACTTTCCATTTTTATTTCTATCTATATTATAAAGCTTTTTACACAGCGGATTTATAGCACCTATAGCACCCGATTTAGGGTTTGTTTACAATATTTTCTGATTTATGAAGTGATAAAAAGAGATGTCCAAAATCCCCTCTGTTAATTTCAATTAAATCCAAATTTCAGCAATTTTTATTGTTCCTCCCTGCATTAAAATTATATAAAAATTACATGTTATCTTTGGGCTGCCTAATGCGTTTTCCTGTTTTTCATCTGGTCATAATTGGATCTCTCAACCTAACCATCTTTCCAGAAAAGACTTCCAAAACCAGCCAAAAGACTACCCCAACCAGACTAGGACAGTTTCAATCAAATTAGACATACATCATTTAAATCTACTATACTAAAGTGGTGGTTGGTTATGATTTCACTTTTTTCACTTTAGTTAGTGTGTAATGTTGCTGTTGGAGCATAAACACCGTCAGCAACGTTACGACACTCAAAGTTCAATGCAAAGGGAGATATTTTCTTTTAAAGAAATCGCTGTTCAAGGACTACAAAAAAAAGGTTGGTAGGGGCTACAATGAGCTCTGAACCCATTGCGTATTTTTAGTGAGCGGCTTCATAGAACCAGGAACTTAACAGACCTTTTTTGACATAACGGAAACAGCGGTGTAGAATAAAGGTAAAATATGTGAAAATAACACGTTATATAACGAAGCATGAACACATGTTACACTGCACCCCATAAACACAATCAAGCCTTCGACAAAAGCTGAACAGCCACCCCTTTAAGAGGACATCCTCCATTGCAGCTTATATTTATTGAAGCGGTATAGAGTAAAAGAAGAGAAGCCCCTCTTTTTTAGGGATAGACGGCTGTCAAAGCAATAGTCACAGGGGTGCTTGTTTATCCGTCAGTCTTTGTCATATAGCCCACCTCCCCTCGCACACACAAAGTATGCTTTTTCTGCAGGTCATGTGATAGACCATCTGTCCCCCATTAACAAATGTAGCTCAGCTCTGTCACCTCTCTCCCTTCGTGAGCATTAATAGGATTAGCTGTGCATCTCTGTAAGTCGTCCCGTTCCAGCTCGACCACTGGTGTGGGGCTCGGCTCTTGTGTCTGTAGTTTAAGCATGAGTTGAATTGCATGCTGGGATGGAGAGACATTAGTGTTATATGTTAAATTTATCTTCTTTTTTTCCCCTTCTTTTTATTGTTTCCTTTTAAGCTCAGATTCCACTTCATTAAAATCTCAAAATATTTTCTTCCAAATATCTATCAAAATATATTTTTATTTTTATTTTTAAAACAGCATGTAAAAGATGGCATTAAGTCCATTTTTGGGTGAACTGTCCTTATAAGTCTCTTTGTTCTGTGGAAATTCCTGTTTATATATTAGAAATATCAAAATCAAATTCAGCATATAAGATTTGTTGTACACCAGTGAGGGGTTGTCATCCTAAAATGCTGCTGATTGCATCAAGAACAGTGATGTTTCTATTGAGATGTTGCCTTTTCACCTGCATCAGCCGCGGTTAGTGCTGAGTGGACATAAACTCTCACTATATCTGCCCATGTCAACTGAGTTCATGTGGCCCGCAGGGAGAAGGGGGAGACAGGTGCCAAGAAGAAGAAAAAGAAACAGAAGAAAAAGAACAAAGACAAGTCTGGAGGAAAAGATGCAACACAGGATCCGCTAGCCAAAGTGAGTATGCTTGTATGGCTTTGTGTGTTTAACACAAGATTGTTTACATCTAGATTACCTTTGCCTTCTTGTATTTCAGCTTTAGCAGTATCAGCCTGAAATGTAATATTGATACATGACTACTTAAGTATAAGAAAATAAAATTCTTTACAAGGGCTGTCCCAAAGTCGTTGTGTACTCATGTACAGTTAAAATATTTGTAATTATACCTATATTGTAGTGCAGGAAATATTTTGAATGCCATGGTATCCTTTGAAGTACTAATTTCTACTGATAATATGGCTGAAAATATATTTTTGTAAGTGTTTAATTCATTTTTTCCCATTTTCACTTGTCTTAGTCTCTTCCTCAGGTAAACTCCCTCCCTGCGGATAAGTTACAGGAGATCCAGAAGGCCATTGAGCTGTTTTCAGTGGGACAGGGTCCAGCTAAAACCATGGAGGAGGCCACACGGCGCAGTTATCAGTTTTGGGACACTCAGCCTGTTCCTAAACTTGGTATTGATCATTTGTGCCACTATATTCGCAGCATGTTTTTTAAAATCCAATATTAAAAGTAATTTGCTTTCATTTTTATACTTATTCCTTGGCCTGACATCACTTGTTTCTTTTTAGTAATGCCGTAATGCGTTTTTAGCAGTACAACATCTGTTTTCTTGAGACTCATGACTTGTGGTACAGTGTAGACTGATGATACTGTGTGAAACAGGTTTTTGGTGAATTGCCTGATGACAGAAGTCTGATTCTGCTGTTTGCTTGTTTGTAGGAGAGACTGTGATATCACATGGCTGCATTGAGGAGGATAAAGATAACATACGAGAGGAGCCCTACAGCCTCCCGCAGGGCTTCAGCTGGGACACTCTCGATCTGGGAAACACTGCAGTGGTATGACATACGAACCACTAAATTTCTCATTCGATATCTTATACATACAAATATACACCTGGACACAACTCAGTCTTAAAGCTGTTTTCTGTTTCCTCTCATTCTCTCTCTGAAGCTGAAAGAGTTGTACACTCTCCTGAACGAGAACTATGTGGAGGATGATGACAACATGTTTCGTTTTGATTACTCTCCTGAATTTCTGCTCTGGTAAGAATGTTGGCTTGAAAAGTCAAGTGTTTTTTTTTTTTTGGTCTTGTATCTGAAGGGCTATCTGTATTTTTATTTTTTTCTAAAAGTTAACTGAAATGTGTCCTCGTCTCTCAGTTTAGCTGTACTCTGTTTTTGTCTCAGGGCTCTGCGTCCTCCAGGCTGGTTGCCTCAGTGGCATTGTGGAGTGAGAGTGAACTCTAATCATAAGCTAGTTGGTTTCATCAGTGCCATTCCAGCCAACATCCACATCTATGAAATGTAAGTGTTTCTTCATAATGGTTTAAATGCACTAAAACCAGAAATACCTCAACCGCCCCTCTAGTGGCAGTAGCACTGAACTTTCAAATTGGTCGTGAAGCAGCTATTACCCCCTGCTTATTCAACATGGGTAAAATAAATGATTAAAGGGATAGTTCTCCCAAAAAATGACAATTCTGTCTTTATTTACTCACACTTAAGTTGTTCCAAATCTGTATGCATTTTTTTCTTCTGTTGAGTACAAAAGAAAATATTTTGAAGAATTTTGGTAATCAAATAGTTGACGGTAGCCATTAGGGATGCCACAATTCTCAATATAATATTGAACCATCCACAGTTCAATACGCCTGGAGCGTCATAATTTCTTATATTCTGTGATGCATATGTGGCGTTTCTGTGCGAGGGCACCCTTGTATGATAATCCATGTTTTTCTCCAGTGTACAGAAGTGTGCTGGAGTTGGTTATTTATTTACTTTTATTTTTTTCCCAAAATTTTGCCATCAGAACCAAACCAAACTGAAAACCGTGATTAAAAACTGAGGTATGTATTGAACCGTGGGATAACTGTATCGTTGCATCCCTAGTAGCAATTGACTTCTATATTATAGAGAGAAAATACTGTGCTACTACTTTTTTGGTTACCAACATTTCTCAAAATGTCTTTTGTGTTCAACAGAAGAAAGAAACTCGCACAGGTTTGGAACAACTTGAGGGTGTTTATATATGACATTTTTTTATTTGGGGGTGGGGGGACATTAATGACTGTATGAATATATCCACAGACAGATAATAACTT